TGCTGTTATACATGGTATCAGAGCCAGACATCGGGTGATGTGTTAGCGAGGAGGCTGAGCTCTGAAGAAAGTGGACACGAGGTGGTGTGCTAGCAAGGATGCTAGGCTCCGAAGGGAAATGGATAGTGAGATCCTACATTGGTTGGAGAAGAGAACGAGTGCCAGCGAGGACGCTAGCCCTAAATGGGGTGGATTGTGAGATCCTACATCGGTTGGAGATTGGGAGGTCCCATATTGATTGGAGAAAGGAACGAGTGCTAGCAAGGACGTGTGGAAATCCTACATCGATTGGAGGGAGGAACAAAATACTCTTTACAAAGGTGTGGAATAGCGTTTTAAAAATCTTGAGGGGAAGCTTGAAAGGGACAGTCCAAAGAAGACAATATCTAGTAGCGGTGGGGTTGGACGGCCATAGATTATCAACACCATAAAAAATGATTTTAACTATTTCACAGCCACATCCAAACATGCCCTGAGAGAGTTATAGTACCTTGAGCCCCTGTGTGAGGGTTCGGTCTCCAGGGCCATGTGCCTTCAGCCATTCATCTGCAAGAACATCATTTCCAAAAGCATCCTTGGCAACAATTCCACCACCAGCACCTCCAGTACTGTAATTGTATACATAAAATATTCAAAAAGTTACCAAAAAAAGAATTAGAATACAGAATCTCAGTTCTTTGAGCTAAATTGTACAGACATGACAGCACACACTAAGATGAATGTTCGGTTTGAAAGACTAAAGATCATGCCCAAAATTGATTTACCACTACTAAAAGAACAAGACCCAGCAGGTAATTAGAGAAGCAGAAACAAGAATTACCCAGGAGGGACAAAGAAATAGGTGTAAGGATACAACATGGTAGCAGTGGGAAGGCCAATAGCACCCAAAAGGAGCAAATTCATGGTCTTCCTTTTACCCATATCCGGCACTCGATCAGCCGGAATACTTGTGGCTTGACAACAGATCTTAACGCCCTTACCCTTCGCCCCCATTTGAGCGCTCTTGGGTTTCCTCAACAGCGCTTGCGAGGGACAGAACAAAGCACTTCTACTGGCGCATAGCTGAACGACAACATCATCAATAATGGGCAACAAATTTCAAGTTCCTTACAACATCATGGAACTTCAATCAACAAATTACCGCTACCTACCTGTGAGGGAGTTGCAGAAGATAGAGTGGAGGACGCCATGGATGGATCACAGCAAAGAGTGGACGGAATTTCTCAATAACTAACGTTATATCAGTGAGTGGCGCTGAGATTTGAGAGATTGTGAGCTGAATTTTGATGGCCACAAAAGGGTCTAGATAAGGCAATTAGCCACATCGGTTCCAAATGGCCACAATTTACTTGGGCCGAGATATAATTTTGGGCTATCTGGGCCAAGGGTCAATGTAACAAAGCCCAAATCATTTTCAGTAAGATCCGGCCCAAAATGTAAATGTAAAGAAACTAATTAATGTTTTTTTTTTCTTTAAAGAAAATCCAAATAAATCAAAAGATTATAAACCTTTATTTTCCACCTAGACTTATAAAAAACCACAAAGACTTGCTTTAGTCATTTAATAATTTTGTAATATTATTTTCGAAGACCAACGACTTTGACCAAATGAAACGTATCATTAATTTTTTTGACACGAGATCATAAAAAGTTGACCTACATTCAAGTCAACTCAAGTGAATAAGTATTTAAAATGAATAATACTATTTTAGTAATAATTTGGAACAATAATATTAAAGAGAGATTTAAAGATGTAAAGATGCGATTAAGATGCGATTAAGATGCGATGAAAGGGTAAGTGGTTGGGAAAAATGGTAAAGCCCTTTACAACTCCAAAATCCACTAAGAAGTTGAATAATTTTTAAAATTTGTGTGTATTTTATTAGTAATTTTAATATAATGTTTTAAAGTAAATAAAAAAGAATAAAAATGTGATTCCAAAGAATTGATTCATCTCTGGTTTTTGGAGATTCCACTTCCATTTACGCTAACACAAAAAATGAAAAAGATTAGTGGTCGAAACATCATAATTGATGCCCATCATTCTTTTATGCTTTCTTTTGAGAACACGTGTTCCACGAGGACATGAATAATTCCTCTCTACCTCATAATTTATATCTTTAATCTTCCTTTGCTTCCACCTTTTCCTACAACACAGTAAAAAAATTTAATCTTTTTAATGTATTTTAACCCTATCCATTCCAAATCTTTCAATTTTAGGTAGTTTAGGCGAGTGAGAACGTCACTAATTAACCATGGTTGTACCCAAGTAAATCATCAAACAATGACCTAACTGTCTGTGAACAGAGCCTCGCATTCCAACAAGAGAAGCAATGACCATCAAGTGACGTCTATCTGGTCAGGCGAGGGCCTAGACGAGTGCCATGATGGGATCGAGGAGGACGGTGCGTCGTCTAACCCACTACATAGAGTGGGCATCGAAGAGAATTCGAGACATAAGCAAGATAAGGACAAACAAATAGACAACCGTGGCAAAAATAGGCTTGTTGAAGAGGGTCTTAAGAAATTTGGGCATAGATAGATATAGTGAAATTCTATCATTATTACTGTATAGAGATAGATTTGGATATAGATACAGATACACGACGTTTTTTCAGGAGGGATACAAATAGGGTTGATAATTCTCGGGCAATTCCTTCATTACTTGATAGAACAAGTCAGCTTGATCAAACTCGAAATCGTAGTTAATATGGAAGAACATTGGGTCTTGACTTTGAGCTTCCAAATTGTCTACTAAAAATGGAACATCCCAGAAATCTCCATTGTTGTTATTACTTGTTTCTTGGAACTTGAATGTCGTTGGAGGGCTGTCTTGTGTCGATTCTTGGTTGGAACAGACAGTGGAGATTTCAGAGGACAACGGCGAAAATGGAGAGCTTTCCAAGATTTCATGAGAGGGAACTTCGCTTATCAAATTGGCTTTCATTTCTGTCTCTCTTTCTTTCATGGAAATTGCCTCGTTTTGTTGCTTCTTTTTAACCTTGCTAGCTTTTACCTTCTTCAAATGGGTATGCCAATAATTCTTGATTTCGTTATCCGTTCGTCCCGGTAATTTTGTAGCCATCAGTGACCATCTAATGAATAGAATCAACATGTGATATCAATATTTAACCTTTCGAATACATATTTGATGAATACTTAGAAAGGATCGAGACATACTTGTTTCCATGTTCTTGATGCAATTGAAGGATTAATCGTTCTTCTTCTTTCGAGTAGTTTCCTCTCTTCACGTCTGGACAAAGGTAATTGATCCAACGTAATCGGCAACTTTTGCCACACCTCGACAAACCTAATAATGAAAATCATAACCCCACCTCATTATTTCAATTCAAAATCATTCATATAATCGGACCCATCTCTCAATTATTCATGTTCTTCAAGGTAAAATTCAGTAAAATGAGTGATGGGTTATTTGTATTTGTAATTGTATTCACTAAAATTCACTAAAAGAAGGCATTTTTTGAAATGGGTTATTTGTGTTTTTACATAATAAGGTTGAAAGAAAGAAGAAAGGGGAAATTTAGGGTTGAAATTACCTGCAAATCTAGGGAGCTCTCGCCAATTGCAATGGCCATGTTTATGAACGTAAGCTTTGAGCTTCTCATCTTCATCAGGACTCCATGCACCTTTTTTGAGTCCATTTTCATCAAAATACGGGGCTCGAACCATGGCTGTGAACTGGAAGTTTGGTCTGATGAAGAAGAAGACTCAGAGTCCACCAACAATTTATATATCTCTGACTAAAAAATTGTAGAAATTACTGCTGGCTCGAGACGACAGAGAGGGACCCAGAAGAGGGAAGAAGATGCCATGAAAGCTCCATCGTGTTTCACCAAGACACAAAAAGCAGACGACTATAATCGAACTGCACTCAAGAAGCATCCTGTGAATTGACGAATCCAACCCAGGGGTAATGTCGACATTTCAAGTATTTTCTTTTTTTTATAAATATTTTGAAAAACAATTACAAGAGATGACGTATGTGGAGTGATGTCATTAAAAACCAATAATTTTACTTTTAAAGGATTTTTTAATATTTAAGTTTTAAGAAAGAATTAGAAACTACAATTTTGTGTGGATAATAAATATAGAACCCAAACAAACAGGGAAAAGTGTTTATTAATGGAAAGGAATATTGACGTGGCTTTCAAGTCTCGTGTCCAAACACACCAGAATCCAAAGCTCCCTCCTTTCAATTTCACGTTTTTTTTTTCAACTCTCACTCACACATTTCCATTCACACTCACACGCTGTATTGTTACTCGTATATTCGTTCACACGAAACTTTTAAAATGAAATTTAGTCCTCTAGTTTTGTTCGGAGAAATAAATTTTATTTTATTTATCTGTAAAGTGTTGCTATCATATTCTCTTACATATAAACTTTATTTATTATTTTTTTTCATGTATATAAATTAATAAATTTTGATTTTTTTTTGTTTTTTGTTTTTAAATCAAACGAAAGTAATAATAAAAGGAGGATCTTTTATTATGAAAAAATAAAAAAGGAAAAAAAAAAAGAAAAGGGAATTTTTTAGATTTGGGAAGAAGCGTTGAAAAAAATAAGATTTTTTGGAATCATGGAATTTGATTTTTCCAACAACAAATGTTTGGACATATATGTAAACTATATCTTTAATTATAGTTTTCCTTTTTTTATTTATTATTTTTATTTATTTATTTTTTTAGTTTTGAATATAGTTAATACAAACCTTGTAATTTGTAGTGCACATTTCATTCTTTATAAACTATTTTCAAAGGAAGAATATATCTGGTTTTGATATGGTTCCTTCAATTATATTTGACTGCTCTTATATATAATGATTTTGATTTGGGCCTTGGGCCTTGGCAAATTTGGACCAAGATTCTGGACTAAAAAATTGGCATAGGATCTCTCATCATCTCATTTGGGCCTTGTGCCTTGGGCCTTGGGCTGCAGCTTTGTAGAATAAAAACTCTCTCCATAAGCCCAAAAAAAAAAAAAAAAAAACAAAGACTTGAGGACATATATTATATGGTTATCTTACTGGAAATGCAAATGAAAATCCCTCATAGAGTAGGACGTTAAAAGGGGAATCAAAGAGACAGAATATATACTGAATTGGATGAAAAGAGTGTGCAAGAGCAACGCCTTGAAATTCAGCAAACTTCAGGCCGCATTGGAGCTCGTTGTGGATGTGCTGCTTTTGGCCTGAGATGATGAAGTCGACGAGCTGGTCTTGGAATTCCGGTTTGAAGACGATGACGAAGACGATTCAGTGAAGAAGACGAGATGCTCGTGGCTGTCGTTAAATGCGAGTAGGGATCTCGGCATCGGCGGTCTGTTTACTTCCAAAACGCCTTCAAGAATTTGGACAATATTACTCATTGATGGTCTCTGGACTTCTTCGTCTTGGATGCACCAACAGGCTACATTACACAGCTTCTTCAGCTCTTCTACATCAGCATTTCCTTGTAGCTTTGAGTCCAACAAGCTAAGGACGTCTCCTTCTTCAGATATTGTGTTTGCAACCAAACTTGGGAAAAACTTGATTGTTCCGTCTTCAGATTGCTCCGAGTTCCTTCTTCCCGACACGAACTCGAAAAGCATCATCCCATAGCTGAAAACGTCGGCTTTAGCTGTTATTGCCACCCCCGAGATCCACTCGGGCGCTAGATAGCCTCGTGTGCCTCTCATGGTTGTCAGGACTCTGCTGAACTCTCGTCCAAACAGCTTGGCCAGGCCGAAGTCAGCCACTTTGGGACAAAATTGAGCATCCAAGAGAATGTTTTCAGGCTTGATGTCACAATGTACTATGCATTCACGGCACTTCTCGTGCAGATAAGCCAACCCTCTTGCAGTCCCAAGAGCAATTTGGTATCTTGTTTTCCAGTCCAAAACCTTGTCATGGAAAAGATGAGCATCTAGAGAACCATTAGGCATGTAATCATATACCAACAGTTTTTTACTGCCTTCTGAGCAAAACCCACGAAGCCGAATCAAGTTAACATGCTGTATTGTCCCGATTGTGCTGACTTCTGTCCTGAATTGCTTCTCTCCTTGGCTAACACTCTCTAACTTCTTCACTGCCACAATCGTTGAATCAGCCAGAGACCCTTTAAAGACAGAACCAAAGCCTCCTCCCCCAAGTTTATGAGAGAAATTCTTTGTTGCATTCTGCAAATCTCTGTACTCAAAAGCCACCAATGAACCCTCCACCGTTTTCCCTTTTCCTACAATTCTCCTCCTCCTCCTCAGAAGAAAGAGTACAGCCAGCACAGTTGCTAAAACAGCAGCTGACCCAACAACAATACCAACGATCATTCCTGTGTTCCTCTTTCTACTTGAAAACTCAGAAGCTGCAAGCCTGAGATACAGTGATCTCGTACCCGGATCACTTGGTGACTGTTTCCGCATATCCAAGAGATCTCCGCTCCAAATTTCACATCGACGATTCTCATATGAATAAGCAGTACAAGAGCAATTTCGTAAGCATAATGATTCACAGTCTCTATCATTTGCAACTGCCATAGACTGTGAAGGATCAGGCAGCTTCATATAAGGCTCCAGTAAGAACCTGTCCGCACCACCACTAGGAACCGGATTCTCGCATGCCAGTTTAGTTTTTCGTCTACACCCACCAGAATATTCTTTCAAATCCCATTCAAGACTCGACTTTGGCTCGAACCCAGTCACACAACTACATATGGGTGAGGAGTTCTCGGTGCAGCTGCCAAATGCTCCACAAAGAGCATAGACTTCACACTGCTGCCTTGGTTGACCCCAGAACAGATTCCACTGCTTTGAGCTCTCTAGCCATGTGAATTGCTTTGCCTGCCCAGACACATCCATCACAAACCGGGATATGACAGAAGCGTTATACATGGAGTAAGTGAAATAGCTTTCGTTATTGGCTGTTACAAAGCTGAAATTATATATGTAATTGAGCCTCATCTCAGGAACCAAGCTAAACATGTTGTCAACCCAAGGTCCACTGCTCCAATACTGTCTAGTTCTGTTCCACATAATGAAATACGCGCTGGTTCCTTTAGGATCAAGCTCCAGAGAGAAGAGGCCCGATCCAGGATCCTCTGGGTTCTTCCAGGCGGTCAGACTTTGGGTCTGTTTAGTAGTATCATTACGTCCAAGCTTACTCCCAGGAAGCCACGTATCAGTTGGAAAATCAAAACTTTGCCACAAGGGTTTAGACGAATTAGGACCATTCTTCAGCACAAAATTCCCATCATCTTGAATCGTAGCTCGTAAAGATCCCAACGGCGTAGAACTTATATTGGCGGACCAAACTGGGATTCTAGACTCGTTCAAGAGAACTAAATTACCATTTGAGAATTTCAAGGCAGAAGCAGATGGATCGGAAATGGGTGCATCTCTGTTTGCAACCCAAACTACTGTCTGTACAGAGATTTTGTTATACCAGATGCCAATGTAATGCTTGGAAGAAGTAGCTTTACCTGGGCGGAAGAAACCAAGCCTGAACACCTCTCCAGAAGAAACAATAGTTTTGTCTCCAGAGATGGTCTCATTTACAGAGATGGAATCCGCTGCCATAGATGGTTGGGAAACGAGCGACAAGATGAGGAACAAAGCACAAGGCATCAACCACACGCCGTCTCTGGTTTCCATAGCAGCAGAGAAATTTGCAGACAAGGGAAACAAGAGAGAGAGAGAGAGAGCAGCAGCAGCAGCAGCAGAGGATTAATCAAATGATGAATATGGCGTCAAGTTGTCCACGCGTTTAATCTGCTGAAAAGTCAATGTTCCCACGGTGACCTCAATGGATTAACTTGGACTTGTTCAAACTTCAAAAATTCCAACAGGGTTCAACAAGTTTGCTAAACCAGTCCTGCTCCAAACGTGGCGGCTCAATCAATTTTTCACCATTTTTCACCCGAGCTCCCTAGATAGATCAGAAACAAGTACAAGGAAGGCTCTCTCCTGCTATAAATAATCGCAATAAATTCAGCAACTGTCTGTCAACAAAATATCTTAGATCAAAAATGGTTGAACTACGGGACAAATAAATTTAATTCGAGTGCCCTTTGAGAAACTTTTATTTAATTAGTGGGTGTTAGCGTGTGATGAAACGTGCACCAACTTCCTCAATCAGTCTCATAAAAGATCTATTGTCCATTATTTGAGGATTATTAAGAAAATAGATGTAGTTTTGTTAATTGTTAAATTACAACTTTAGTCTTCAAATATCAAAATATTTTAGTTCTATTTAATCACGTAAACTGTTTTATTTTTATTTTGTGTTAAAAATATTTTTACTAAATTAAAACAAATTTTAAAAGAACCTTAAAATTTCAATTTTGTATTTAACACCAAGTTGCTTTTACAAAATATCAAAACTCAATCATTAAATTTTTTATTTTAAAAAATCTAAAAATCAAATAGAAATAAATTTTAGACTAAACTTGTAATTTGGTTATAAAAATTTCTCTCCAATTATATTTTCTAACATAAATTGATGTTCACAAGTTAAGGAAACGCTCTCCTAGAACTTTTTTTTTCTTTTCTTTCTGAAATCAGTTTTAAAACTTTTGACAACAAAAACTTTTTAAACCGTATTAATTATTAAAGTTAAATGATAAAATTTAGGTGTGAAGCTTCAAAATTACAAAGTTAATATATTTTTCAAAATTTAAATCTTGAAACAAAATTAAAAGTTTAGATTTCAAATTAGATATAAAATTTAAACTTATCAATTAATTATTTAAAAAAAAATTAATTTGTTTATGACATTAAAAATTAGAAACCTAATACACTCCTGAAATTCAAGATTGAATAAACACAATACACCACTGAAAGACTAAACTTAGAATTTAATTAATTATTTATTAAAATAAACAGAAATGCCTATTTGGTTCAAATATTTAATATAGCAAAATGGTGACGTAGAAGTCGAATCAAAGAAATTAAATATTCAGAGATAAAGACATTTCTATCAAATATTCACATGTTCATGGATTCAATTCAATATCAACATTAGAAGTAAATCGATATTTCCATCCTGTAATAAAAAATTCATGAAATATATTTATTAATTTAAATATTTTTTTTGAGAAATTTAAATAAGCAACACTTAATCGAATCACATTTTGGAAAAATGAGTACATTTTAAAAATTCATCTTGAGCAGTAGAAAGACTTTTCAATTCAATATCCCAATTTTGAAAAATACCTGTAGTTTAATGGAATGAAGGCGCATACCTTAACTAGACTCAGTCACGAGGACCGAGTTGGAAGAATGAGACTGCAGGACGACTTGTCGTTTCTACTTCAAAATTCCCAAGCATTATTCCTAAAAAATCAAAACCTGGCTGGACTACCGTATGCGCGACGCCATTATCTCGCCGAATTGGGAGCACTTTTCAGCTGCCTTGATAGAAATTGATCAGTCAGTCAAATAAACTAAATCAAACGCCATAAATATCATTGGTTCATCCATAATGCCTTACTTTTCTTCCTAACATGATTTCACCCAATAAATAAAATGCCCACTGGGAAAATATCTTCCCACAAACCGCACCACAAAAAGACATGAAGATATCTTCAATTATTAAATGTTTAGAGCTGTAAAAAGACAGAAGAAACTGACCTGTGTGCCTTCTTCTGGAGGGAATGAATCGAATTCGCCATCCAACTGTGGAAAATGTTCCAAGAGAGAGAACAAAGAAAATGAAGGCTTACAGAAGTGAACAGTCGCATTGAATTTTCGCCTCCTTCAAATCTTATATCGGCTGTTCGCCGGAGATGGTCTCCGTCGTGAACAGCTTTCAATGGACATCCGGCACTGGTTGGATATCCAGTCACATGTGTGCATATTATTTTTGCCAATCTAATTGAGGAGATTATTGAAAAGGGTAATCTCATGTTGACTCACATTGATGATCATGAGTATATAAGTAAGAAATACATCTTTCAAGCCCTTTGAGAAACCAAAAGCAAGGTCAGGACAACTTACGTTTAAAGTAGACAATATCAAACTATCCTATAAATACGTGGTTATTAACTTTAACTCCCTTTTTGTTTTATAATAGAATCTTATCATCAACCATGCAGAGTACAAATGATGTTTTTAGTAATATAAGGTTTAATGAGTGAGGTACGGGGTAAAAATTTTTCAAAAAAATTCAACTCGTTCAATAGAGAAACGAGTAGGAGTTATAACGGCAAACGACACTTGGGACTTCAATAAGAGTAAGAGGGAAATTCAAATTACTCTTCCATTTCCTGCTCATTTGAAGATTAACAATGAAAGTGGAACTTTACGGTATTTCAAATCAAGCTATACAAGAAAGCAAGAGAAGCGTACCTTTCTGATCAACTCAAAGCCAGTTATCCTTCATCGAAATCAATCAGGACAATCACTTCCAGCAAGACGCGCACCACGCTGGACTCGTCTCAATGCACTCACTCGTCCCCCACGAACGCTCACATTAAGAATGCCAACATTTGTACCTTTCCCTCGTCTTTTCTCCGAGTAAACAAAATTAATGTCAACAGCGCCTTTTTCACCTTTCCTTGTTCTTTTTTTCTTGTGATGGAAATTGTTTTCAGGTTGCTCTGCTCCGCAGAGACGACCGAAGTAGTAAAGGGGTTCGACGTAACAAGAAGATGAAGAAACGATGCCTTTGATGTTTGTTGGACGGACAAGCTTTATGAACTCTTGTATCTCTGAGAAGCAAGCATGGTCGGAGTATGGAACTGAAAATATGTACTTGTGCAACCTCTTAACTGTTTCTGCTTTTCCAATTTGCTCCTCAATCAAGACGCCAGCATTTTCATTCAACTTGCTTCTGCGGTAAAGTGTGGTCAGAAGAGAACCAGAAAGAATATCATCACCTTTACCGGGTCTCACCACCCAAGGAAGACCCGACGGCATGATTCCAATGGTTGGGCGCATCTGGTTTAATCCCTCCAGAGTATCTATGCTAAAGCTGTAGCGAGGAACAGCTCGAACTCTAGTCAGATTCGTCTTCGTAGTGAACCTTTCATTGAAACCAAGAAGATGCATCGTCTGCAAGCGTTCTGGCCACACCCAAATCTTCAAGAACAAAAAGGAAAAATAAAAAGAGAAAAAATCAGTACGACAGCCGTTTGACATGGCAAAATGCGTAGGATTTTAGTATTCAAGGCTGTTGGCCACATCGGTTTGAACTGGACATTGCCATATTCAGTTTACATTTTTAACTTGCTCTTTAGCTCTAATAGCTCAAACCAAGGTGGTTACTATATACTTCAGCCCTAAAATGAAATATTATCAACCTCACCTTCTACATTTTATACCAACTCACAAACTATTGAAATTTGAGAAAGAATTAGATAGAGGCTAAATGGAATCTTTTATCCCTCTTAAACAATATTGCATAGAGTAGAGGCAGTACTGTTTACATCAAACTAATAGATTAATAGATCTTCACGCTGAACCAGTCTCATTTGTATAAATTTTTGAGGATTATTGGGAGTGAGTCGTCCGTTGGTTAATTTAGTGGAAGATCATGAGTTTATAAGTGAGGAATACTATCTCTATTGGTATGAGGCCTTTTGGGGAAGCCCAAAGCAAAGCCACGAGAGATTATGCTCAAAGTAAACAATATCATACCATTGTGGAGAGTCGTAATTCCTAACATAAATGACTCCGGGGATGTACAGAAGATTATGAAGATCAAGCTCAATGACCTTTCTAAATGTTTTCTAAATCACTTCCGTCATTTCATTATTGAAATAAATATTGTGTCCAAAACGCATTAGTGGGCTGTATAATCACATCTTCATTAAGAACGTGTAAACGTCAACTGAATACTGTGAAAGTGTTATCTCACTAATTAACAGTCTCTAAACAGAAACATATTGCATTAAGAGTGTATCTATAGACTAATTAACAGATTAGCTCATTAATTAACAGTCTCTAAACAGAGACATATACAACTAATCACAACAGAAGATATTCTCCCAATAATAAACAATATAACGAACCTTTATTTTAAGCATGCGAGAAATGTGAAGCAAAAGATCTTCCTTGCCCAGAGAATCGATTCCAATGATGATATCATGTTCTGGATGGGAGGCAACGATATCAACAATCTGCAACCAAAATCAAACGTTTAAGAAAAGGTAGGAAAGTAGTAAAAGAAAACGTTCAAGAAAAACTATGTGGTGCTGGTTGTCAGTTCCCGTCGTTTAACTTAAATAGAAGAATTAAAGAAACTCCAATCATGAACAGAAACTCAAATCAGTAATGTTTTTCCACAGCGCATACTATCAGATCAGAAATGCTTCTTTATGTCTCCTGCCAGACAATCCATGTCAACATAAATGTTACGGTTCAAAAACGTCTTTCAAGTAATTCAGTGAAAAGCTAGGAGAATAGTATCACAGAAGTCATCAAATAGCGTTTGATTCTCATGGCTGATACCATCACAGCCATGAATCCATCAATTACCTAAGTATAACGATAGTTAATTCTTACAACAATACGAAGGCACGTACCAAAAGTGTAGAATAAAGAATCAAGAAAAAATTACACCGAAGTATCGGAGAAAGTCTTAACCTGCTGTGCAGCAATTTGTCGAGAAGGGAAGGCATAATAAGGATTACAGTAGGTGTTATCCAAGTAAAGTTTATCGACAGTGTTCTCC